CGAGGGCGCTCCAGCGACGATGAACGGCCGCCGGCGACCAAAGCGACTCGTGCTTCGATCACTCATGAGGCCGACCAGAGGCTGGACGAGAAGGCCTGAGAGCGGTCCGCAGAGCCATATCACGCTCGCCCACGCGTGAGGAATCCCCAGCTCCTGCACGTAAGGGGTCAAGAGAGAGAGTTGCAGAGCCCAGCCGAACTGAATCCCAGCGGCCACTGACGCCACGCGGAGAAGCCGCCGGAGCGGTACCCTCGCCGGATTCGCGGCCCTGGCTCGGCGGCGGTCGGGTTCGGGGATCGCCATTTCCGGCGAGCTTAGCAAAGTTCTCAGAAGAAGTTTTTTTCTCTCACTCTCTCTCTCTCTCTCTCTCTCGTTTTCCCTAACGGAATGACACGAATTTTCCGGGAAAATATGCAGGAAAAGCGCGAAACAGGTGGCGGTTTCGTTGAGGCGCGCAGCCGTCAGGACGTCATTACTGTGGGAGCTTGAAGTGTGTGTGTAATGTCATGTGACGAAACTACCCTTTTCTTTTGGATTTATTTACGATCCAAGCCCAGCGTGTAAAGGAAGCAAATGTTAGTGGTTGACCTGCTTGCGAAATTAGGAATAGATACTGGGGGCAAATACGTAGATTGGATTTTTTTGTTTTTGATTTTCGCTCCAACTGTCGGGTCTTCCGAGTTTCGTAAATAACCAAACTTGGCTGGGAAACATGCAAACTAAAACCATAATATATATATATAATATTAAATAAAATAAAAAACATATTTAAATATAGTTCTATTTGTTTTTTAATTAACTCATTATGTTATTTTAACGTTATATATTTTTTTTATAAAATTAGTATTTAAATTAATAAATGTTTAATTCCTAAATAACAAAATTGCATGTTTTAAATATTAAGTAAAAAAAAATAGAGTAATCCCCTAAAAAAATCAATAACAACCAAATATAAAAAAAATAAAAAAAACAATTGGATTGGTGCTTAATTTTGTATTAAGTATAGCACATCCTAAATTTGAGATTAACTAAAGTATTGTACTGGAGAATAATTTATTCATTCAAAGCGTTAAGTTTTAGCATTGATATATAAATTTCACATTGTATTAAAATGTTCTTAAAAAGCCGGCAATTTCCATAGAAGAAAAGAAAGGAATCTAAAAGAGAGAGGGTGTAAAAAAAAAAATTGGCTAGCTACCAAACTTCAACTGGAGAGAGAGAAAACAAACTAGCACTTCTCGTAGTCGTGGAACACCATTCGACAGTTAATAAACTGGCTTTTAGTTGCAAGTTGGGCGTCAAGTGTGGTGCTACACAACGAATCATGACAAATAAACAAAATAAAAAGAATGTCTTCTTTTCATAAATTTAAATTTAAATTTTTATAAGAGAAAATATGATGATAAAAATAATGAATTGTTATATGAATTATAAAAAAAAATACAGAGCTTTATTTCATAATGATCAAACAACGTCTCCTATTTGTGGGTCGCAACTCGAAAACTGAGAGCCACGACGGGGTTACGTGCTCGGAATCCATAATTCAGAATTAGAAAATAATTGTATTTTTTGCGAACCAAATGCACGATTTTCTTTAAACCCATTACATCATCCTCAAGAGCTTCACTTAAATCCTTGCGTGATTGGTCTCTATGCAAGCCGACCGATGAGAATAGAGAGTCACTTTGGAAGATGGAGCAATATTTTTTGCTCTTTTTTTCGCTCTATTTATTTCAGTTTATTTTGATGATGATTTACTCTTTTTTTTTTCCTAGGAAATTCTTATTTACTTTCTTGGCCTTTTACTAACGAAGATGCATTTTTCACTGTTTGATTAAAAGTGAATGATTCCCAACGGAGTAGTTCACATTAAAATGAATTTGATTAAGTTTGTAGGCCATTTTGTTCCCGCTTTTTTGAAAATGAAATTGCAGGGACTCCCCCCACAAGCAAATATGAAATATCATTGAAAGATATATTAGATAGAGAGAAGTGGGGGGTCTAATGCAAAAAGGAAAAATCAACCAAAATAATAGAAAAAACCCATTACATCTCTCATATTATAATCATAATATTAAATATCATACAAATGTAATTAGATTAAAAAAAATTATCATCGACTAAAAAAATAAGGAATACTGTGGCAAGATATTTTTGTACTACTTACAATGAAAAGAAACAAAATTAGATTATAAAATATAATCACAAAAATGAATAACTAAAAGAAAAAATGCTAGCATGACTCATTTTATCACTCTCTCTATTCACATTTTGACACAAAAATTTCACTATCTCATTTTATGTTTAAATAATAATATATCATATTAATAAAATTTACGTATCAAATAATAAATAGAAAGAATAATAAAATAAATAATGCTAGCAAGTGATGTTAAAAGTGACATTTCGTTTTCCCCTCAATAAATAAATTTTATATTTTCACACCAAAAAAAAAAGGTAGAAGACGTATAACGTTTTTTTAGTCAAAAACTCTTTTGTCGCATTTGGCTTTCTTCTAGATCAATATCACTGTAAAATAGTCATCTCCAGCAAAATCTATATAATAAATATTAGAAAGCAATCAAGTTTTTTTTAGGGTAATAATTCATGTCACGTGTCGTGTTTGTGTCATATTTTAATCATTTTTTTAAATTTACAGTCAACCTGAACACGACCCGTGACACAAATTTTTTTAAAAACCGCAACATGAACACGACACGATCACTTTACGAGTTGACACGACACGACCTGAAAATGACCTGTGACACGAAATTGACCCGTGAATCTGAAATTGACACGAAAATTGTATACTTTTATTTAGTTTTTTACATATTAGAAATAACTTAAAATTCATAACACACTAAATTATAATAACATCCATTGAAATTAAGTAAATAATAATATAAGATTTTAAGTATAACTATCATGATATCACAAGTTCATAATAAAATTTAAAATATGAAATGAAAAATATATGTATTTTTCAGTTTTTTACGAGTTTCGTGTCGTGTTCGGGTTAGGAGGGTCCAACCCGAATTGACCCGTGTTTTTCGTGTCAAATTCAGGTCGACCCAATTCTGACCCAAACCTCTTTTTTCTCAACTATAACTCATAAAATTCGTGTCATCATATCGTGATCTATATTGCCGGCCCTAAGTTTTTTTTGTCCAAAATTAGAAAATGAAAGTAGCTACTGTTAAAGATCCAGGTACATTATGCAAAAGTGAAATTACGAGTTATTGTGATTAGCAAAAATTACGAGTTATTATTAGTGATTTTTTTTTTTCATATATTATAAAATCATCATAGATTCATATATATCCTGAATATATATCCGTAAGTATGTACTCCATATAACTTTAAAACTCATTGTCACACGAAAATTCACATAATTGATAATCCTCAGATGACGTGTGTTTGAGCTCACTCCAAAGTCCAAACATTTTTTTTTCTTTAAAAAAAAAAAATATTCAGAAAAGAAAAAAACACCGGAGTTTTATAGTCAGTAACCATGAGATTAGAATTATTTTTGATTTACGTGTGTTTTTTATAAGAGAAAATACTGTAACGAATCATGAACCATTATTCGAATCAGAGAACGAATCATCTAACCAAACGGGACTTAATTATTTATTTGAGACATGACAGGAGTTTCATTATGAGAAGAAGACGCATAGACAAACAGTGACAGCCTTTTTTTAAAAAAAATATGAACAGTGACAGCCAAATTAGTACTTAGTACTAGGATGAGAACATGAAATTATGAAGCTCATCCACACCTCAATAAATGATCCTCAAACACTTCTTTGTTAGACCGTATCTGAGTGGAGACCACACCTTGACTATGCGTATGTTACTATATATTTAATGCAATTAGGAAAGCAACAATTTTTAAAAAAAAAAAAATTCTACAAGTAATGCTCATAAAAAAAAATGTTGTCAAATTTATTTTGTGTACATCTTTTTATATCCTTCAACGAAATTTCAAAATACATTCCATAGCCTAGACAAATCCAAGAGAATCTTTAGAGAATCAAATTTAGCATAAGATGGTAGAGAAAGGGACAAAATCATGTAGAAAGGAGATAATTAATCATGAAGGTTAAGCTCAAGCATGACAATTGTTTTAAAAAGAAAAATATCATAGCATAAAATGGTAATACAAACACTAATTCACACCATTAAATGCATCGAACCACCTCAAGGATGAGATCTTTAGAGAGACGGGATAATGGAAAAGCAACACGCTTAGCACACCATAGAGGTGAAGCACGCCCCGAGCTCGGCGGGTTGAATGGAAATTTCGGGTCAACCTAAGGGATAGGGTCGGCTTAACCTAGCTCGAAATTTTATAAAATATTTTTTAAAAAAACAAAAATTAGGAAGGTGTTTAGAGCGACCCAGCCAAGTCTGAATAAAGCTTTTGAGCTCAAAACCTTTGTCATGCGTCGGGCCAATAGTGATGGACCTCGAACTGACCCGTTTAGCATAGTCTAAACTTACAGCTCTAGCACACCACTAAAAAACCAACTACCACCCGACTCATTATTTGTCCCAAACTCCACGGCCATGTGCCTTGCAGCAACAAACATCATCTTCATCATCATCTCGGCCCCATTGTTCTTGTGCATTGAAATACAAGATCAGGAGTGTGAATACACGTTTTCTTTTTTGGCGAAGTTCCACTAACATTTCTTTATGATTAATCACTTTGGTACCTCTATTATAGTGAAACATCTCGTCAATACACTGTGTTTATAATAATATTAAAATGGTACATTCATTTTTAAAGAAATATTTTTGGTACCCTGAGACTAATTTTTAGGACATATAATGTCAAAACTACCATTTCATTAATTAAATAGAAACTAATAACTTTAAAAATATTTTCTAAAAAAATTAACTTATTCTAATTAAAAAAAATTAACTTATTCTAATTTTTTTAATTTTTAAATGTTTTAAATTATTTTCAGCTTTTAAAAAAAAATATTAGCTTGTTGTTAATTAGTGAAAGAAATGAACATTTTAGATCTCAAAAATCAGTCTCAAAGTACCGAAAGAATGTTTTTTTAAAGGTAAATGTATCGTTTTAATATTATTAAATACATAGGGTACTAACAAGATTTTTCACTACAATGAGGGTACTAAAATGACTTTATCACATAGTGTTATGTTCAAATATTTATACTTAAACACCTTGTGTTGAGGGATTTTTCCTAGATAGTCAGAGATCACGACACGTGTTACGAACTCAACCGAAAAAAGAAGACCAAAACCGGGGGGCGTGAAAGGGGATCGACGCCCACCTTAGGCGAGGGTCGGATAGAACTCAATCGAGGTGAGACTCAAACTGAGATAGAAAGCGAGATCGAGATCGAGACCGAGACTGCGAAGTATTCTAACGCATTGAGACGAAGTAGACAGAGATCGAGGAAAGCAGGAAAGGCCCGTGTCAAGGTGTGAATCCCGAGGTAGTGACACACATCCCACTTCCTCTTAACTAATGTGACCAACTCGAGTACGGTACGTGTAAAGTGAATAACGGAATTGATAGTGACATTTCTTAAATTAGGAAGCTTTCAAAAACCTTCCATGGGAAAATGTCCTAGGAGAAACCCTAAGAACAAATGAATGACTATGTGTCATGATCAGGATGGATCATGAATATCCATTAGGGTAATCACCATATAAAT